CTTTTTAGCGCGGACCCGACGTCCATATAATTGTAAGTCAATGACAAAAACCACGAAAAAAATGTCCGAAGTTAACCTATACAAACATAGTGACATGTAACGAAATATAAAAGACTAAAACATTTAATTTAAATTGTAACGTCATTGCAGTACTGCCCAATTTTGCTTGCAACTATTTAAGGCCCAAAAACACCATATTCAGCTTCTACTGGAAACTTAACAGAATGCACCATATTTAGCTTTGACTGGAAATTACTTGAACACAAGAGTAATGGAGTACCCGTTCTCATAAATATTAATTTTTATATATATTATTAAGTCGAATTTTGTACAAATCCACTTTAAGTAATAATAAAGAGTTGGGCAGATACATACATACAAATATTACTACAATAAATGTGAAAATAAGCACGTACTATAAGGAATGTACCGATATTCCAACTAAACGTAAACTCAAGTATCCGTAATTTCGAAAACCGATTTATAATAAAACCGTTACGCTTTCGAGTAATTTTGATGCTTTTCATAAAGACAAAATTAGCTTTTGTTTTGAACTCTTCCTAAAAAAATACATTTGAATTATGAAAATTCGAGCTAACGTTATTTCGGGCAAATGTATTTTCTGACTTCTGATAGGTAATCCTGTAAAATGAGTACAACAATAATTTGTTAGTTATTGCTAACGTTTAATAAAAAAATCATTTTAAAAATAGGATTAAAATAAAAAAGCGACTCTATAGTTTCTTTGTTCTAAATATTTCAATCGCTTGTGGTTCGAACAATTGAAAATGACCAAGAAGTTTATATAAGCTTCTTGAAACTGACGTAATGAGTCTCTTTCCATCTTTTGCGCATGCAATGTGTAGAAAAGGGACAGTTAAATTTTGTGTGCTTTTGTAATATATTTTACGATTCATTTATACATAAATTAAATACTATAAAACTACAAAATAACACTTTTAAATGAGAACTATGATAACACAGTTGTTTAGTGAAAATAAGATACAAAATCCTGTTTTTTTACACTTTATTGCAGTAATTTTTACAGTTATTATTATTGGTACTGCGTGATTGACAACCGCGCTGTCAATCGAACAAACGAAGACTGTTGCGCGATTGACGCTCTATATGCGATTTTCACGCCCTACAGGTGCATACACTTTTTAGCGCGAGCTCGACATTTATGGTCTCAACCAAAAAATCGGTGGACTTTGTAGGCTTCAACATGTGCGGTATAAGTTCATCGCAAAGATTGTGGACCATATTTTTGCTGAGCCGGTATCTTTTCGTAAATTGTTGTACATCCATGCCAAACTGATCACTATGATCTCGCAGTTCTCTTCTTTGGATTTTTTCCATATTATTATCGAGTGAAGCATCATTTTCGAGACACTCAAACATTTCGTATTCATCACATATGATTAAACGATTGTCTAAAAATATATAAACTCAAAATTATAATCATTCAGTCATGGGCTAAGTCATTTGGTCTCCTGGTTAATCCCGCTAAGTCTCAAGCCATGATTGTAGGTAGTAGCAGATTAAGGTGCAAGTTGGATTGGTCCTCGGTACCTGGGTTGGTAACAACCACTATCATTTCATATACTGACAAAGTAAAAGATTTGGAGTTAGTAATGGACAGCACCTTATCAGATTAAGCTCCGCGGCATACGCAGTCCGCAGAATACGTGAGCTTACCGATGTTAGCACTGCTAACACTGTTAGTTTACTTTAGTTATTTCCATAGTATAATGTCCTACGGGATTCTCATGTGGGGTAAAGCGGTGCCTACCTTCGTTCACGGTTTAAGCTGCTGCCCCCTCCCATCCGCTTTGCATTACTAAGATGCTCGTTCGTCCCAGCTGCGATGCAAATTTCTTTTTTAATTATTTTTCTTCTCGAGCAGCGCAGTTGTAGATCAGACTCCGTTTTCACATCCAATCTAGTCCGTCGATCGCTTCCTTCAAGAAAAGGTTGATAGCGCAGTGTCTTGCTGAACTCTCTACGTAATCATCTTACATGTATATTTTATGTGTTTTTTTTTTATACATGACAGGCAAATGACTTCACTCCACCTGATGTTAAGGGGAAAGTGGTATCCAAACGCGAAGGAACCTAGTGCAGCGATGAAACCCTCACTGCACTAGCCACCTCCACCCTGCCTGCCTCCAATATGCCTCTTCACGCTTCGTTTGAAGGACCCCATATCATTAGAGGGAGGGAAGACATGTGCCGGAAGGGAGTTCCATTTGTCAACCGTGCGGCAGAGAAAGGAGCCACCGAACCTTTTAGTACGCGATGGAATGCGGCAGGTAGTGAAACGGTGACTACGAAGGCCAGCACGCGTGGTTCTGAGCAGGAACGGGGAAGGGGGGATGAGGTTGAACAGCTCTTCAGAGCACTCACCATGGTACATGCGGTAAAAGGCGCTAAGCGATGCAACATTTCTACGCAGTTGCAGAGGTTCAAGGCGTGATGAGACCTCTTCGTCGCCTATAATTCGAGTAGCACGACGCTGTAATTTATCCAGGCATCGAGTAGGTACTTGGCGGAGCCGTCCCACAAGTGCGAACAATACTCAACGCAAGACCGGACCTGTGTTTTGTACAGCAGGCATAACTGGTCCGGCGTGAAAAAACGTCGCACCTTGTTCAGGACTCCCAGTTTCCGTGAGGCAAATTACGTATATTACGTAATTACGTATGTATAATTACATTCAATATTTTACGTGTGTATAATACATATGTAAGTGGTATCTTTTATTTTTTTTTATTATTTATTTTCTGTTTACATGCCAAGTTTATTATTTTTCTCCTTCCTTTTTACTTGCACAGTGTTACCCGCTTATGACCTTTGTTCTTACTACCTTGGGTTGGCTGTAAGAGATCTCTTTTAGAGATAAGTCCACCTTTGCTCACTTTTTCTACAATTAAGTTTTCTGATGTATTTTTGGTGCAACAAAGAATATATTATAATTATCATACAATTATGCACAAAACAATTCAATAAAAGCTACACCAAAACACAGTAAATTGAATGGTTTATTGCGGTTACGTTTTGACAGATCAACCCTGAACAAAATGTCAAAATAACGTTAGCAATACGATATTGCCATCCAAACTTCGGGCAGAAGACAGCCTAGTGTCACGTGACCGCTGACTGGTTGGTATTAACAGTTCATAATACGAAATTACAAGTGGAAATAAGAGTTCTTATTAGGCCTCCAGAAATAGAGACGAAATGTCATTTAATTTGTTTGATAACTATTCTGCCAGATCATTACGGTGTCAACTGTGCTCCGATTGGCCAGCCCGAATTCGAAGTAATAGACGAGTGTTGTCAATTGTTTCACTTCAAATCGACTAGTTTAATTTGAACTTGAGCAATAATGGACGAAAATTGAAAAATTACATATTTAATATTTAATTACCGATGAAATGCGATTACGTTTGTTTTGTAATTAGATGTTTTGCTGTTTTTCCAATACCACCGAATAGAACAGCCCTCCATAGTTAGAGATATTATCTTTATTACAAAAAATACACAATATTTTTGGAATATCTCCATCAAAGTAAGGAACACGTCTTCTATCTCACTAACTTCACGTACACGCGGCTTGTTAAAAGTGCTCCCAACAGTTGTTGAGGGCCTCGACGGCGTGTACGAAACTAGAGCGCTACTCGACGAGGGCAGCACAGTGACACTGGTTGATGGAGAGGTAGCGGCAGAGATCCGCGTCATCAGGAAAGTCTTCGAATACTTGGAACTTTTTTTCGGGACGAACAAGTCGTGCGCCTGAAGCTAAGCTACACGCCTGTCCATAACAGTTACAGTACCACATTAAATTTGCAAAATCTGAGGGGCACTACCACTGCGCCCGTCATCCTGCGACGTAGTTGACAAATCCCATGTGCCTGTAATTTCACCAGCACCCTTACCCTTCAAAACCGGAACACAGTAATGCTGACATTACTGCTTGGTGGCAGAAATAGGTAAGGGCCACCTTAGTGCTTCCCTGGACGAACTCTTTCACAAGGAGCTCTACTGCTTACAAAGCTTACGCTCGCGCTATTGTGTTAATATTAAAAGCATGAAATTACCTGCATCTCCCCTTCAAATTAGAATTATTATGCATTTCCATATGAAAGTTAAGTAACCTCGATGATACTTTGGCCTTGCATTTTGCGCACACAACTGTTCTGTCACTCGGTTTCTTTATTTTGCAGCGCGCGCACGTGAATTCTTGATTGTTCTCCGATCGCATTACGGGATATTTGCGGTCACATTTTATACACGGCACCAACGCCTTCTTTTGTATAGCGACCTGTAGGAGATAATTCTTGTTTTGAATTGATAGGTACCTGTTTTTGAAGCCTCTCGGCACATTGAACTAGATTGCATGTAATCAGAGCCATTTAAAGGTGGGTCCATATTTGTGACATTTCAATGCACCGTAACTTCGTGACCGTAAAAGATACGCGTAACACGAAATAGAAGTGTGGACGTTTTTGTCACGCGGAGAAATGACACGAATGTCACCCAGCGACACACGATCCTGTGGGTAAATGAAACGAATGTCACCCAGCGATACACGACTCTGGGGGTAAATGACACGAATGTCACCCAGCGATACACGACTCTGGGAGTAAATGACACGAATGTCACCCAGCGATACACGACTCTGATGGTAAATGACACGAAGGTCACCCAGGGATGCACGAGTCTGGGGGTCTACTTTCGTTCTCCGTCAGACGTCCGTCCGAAACAATTGCTGTCAAATAAGTAATAGTCGAATCAAAAGACAGTATCAAGTATGAAGCTTCATTCGCATCATGCGTTTTTAATTTGGTCGAGCGTTACCTAATAATAATAATAAAAGCTTTATTTCCGACCTTAAATAACTGTCAAAACTTAAATATTAACCTTATTCTATAGAACAATTAACTGCCTCCGTGGCCGAACGGTTACCATGCCGGACTGCCACGCAGAGGTCCCAGGTTCGATTCCCGGGCCAGGGTGAAATATTTGTATGACCTACATTTATTTCTCTCGTGAGTTTGGGTGTAATTTGTAGTTGTCTATGTGTGTGTCCATGGCACCCGCGACACAGGGTTTCCCTGGTGCGGGGCTATGTTGAGTGTGTGCGTAGTTCAAAAAATAAAATCTATTAATTTTTATTTTTTTTATGTGTTAGTATTTTTCTTATTATAAGTATATAGATAGATAGCTAAAGTATTATCTGTAGTTTGACCTATTTGTAGGTATTTATTTAATCGCTGTTCTATACAAGGAATGCTTTTTCAGCTGTAAAAGCCTTCTCCAGCTCCTTCCACTTTTCTCGGTCTCTAGCGGCTGTACTCCATACTTTGCCTGCTACTCTGACGATATCATCAAACCATCTTTGTGTGGTCTGCCAGGTTTTTTTTATAATATCAAGTGACGGGACGAACAAGTCGTGCGCCTGATGGTAAGCTACACGCCTGTCCATAACAGTTGCGGTGCCACTCAGAGCTTCAAATCGCAAAAATCTGAGGGACACTGCCACTGCGCCCGTCACCCTGAGACATAAGTTGGCAAGTCCCATGTGCCTGTAATTTCACCAGTACCCTTACCCTTCAAAACCGGATCACAGTAATGCTCACATTACTGATTGGCGGCAGAAATAGGCAAGGTGGCAGTACTTCCCTGGACGAACTCTTTCACAAGGAGCTGTACTGCTTAGAAAACTTACGCTTTTCAGTATGACAGTAATTGTATCGGAGGGAAGTCGGACCAAGAATGGGAATAGAGTCCAGGGTCTCTGAAATGGCGCGTACATTTTGTCGTGTCATATATATGGCGTGACAAGAATGTGCAACACCGCATAACATTTGAAGCAAGTGTGGACGGTGATTTTGTACTGTCACGCTCCGATAGCACACATCTTAATCCAATCCGCCTAAGAAGGTTTCGCGGATTTTACTCATTGAAATTGAAATCCATTTTTCGGACTTAAACCATGTACCTATATTTTTTTAAAAAACAATGTTTTGAACTGAGAGTCACTTCTGACCATGATACCTGTAGGGTTAGCATGATAGGGGGACTGTAGGGCAGGACCTCTCGCTGCCGAGCGTGGTTGCCGCCATGCTCGATATCGAGGAGTCCTGGGAGGCGGTGGCCTCCTTTTGCGCAGAGGTTATGTCGCAAAAGGAGGCCGCGGAGCGGGTGCGCGAGGACGCACCGGTCGCGCACCCGCTCCGGCGCAGACGTACGGGGAGAAGGCGAAGGCAGTTCGCTGCTCGCCTGATCCCCTAGAGACCAGCAGGCTCTGGACAGGGACTCCGGAGCCTGTATTGCACGGTCTCACTCGTCTGGGGGGCCGGTCGGAGGACAAACGACTCGCCCCTCCGGTGGCGCGGGAGCCCTGGCGTAAGCTAGGGCGGCCGGGCGGCGTCGTGGTGAATGTTCACTGATCCCACGGCGCCGACTCAACCGGCGAGAGGGGGGGGTTTTAGTGGTCGTTTAGTAGTCGTGCCAACCCTACTGCAAAGAGCCCGTTAGTTCACCTATTTGTGAAAACAAATATACGTTATTTACATCCGAAATAAAACAGTACAGAGTACTAAAAAAACCGACCCCAAAAGTACGTGGAATTACATCTATTTGCCAAGTTTTGTTGAAATCGGTTACCGGAAAGTGCGCGAAACCGGATTCATCCCTTAATTTGTCACCCTTAGAGGTGGAATATTTTCTTCAAATTTAAATGGGGCTACTACTCTGAGGTACCCTCTTTCCACCAAAAAAGAATCATCAAAATCGGTTCAAAAATTATCGAGTTATCGCATAACGTACATACAAAAAAAAAACAACAAACAGTTGAATTGAGAACCTTTTGAAGTCGGTTAATTTTTTATTTTTTTTCATTGAATTGAAATTTCCTGTCTAACCCTTTTTAGCATACACTATGTAGGAAACATACTTTCAAAATACCACGGCTCGTCTGTCGATTTATATTTTTCGCGTGTCCGGTGTTGAAACTGTGTTTTCCTATTGGACATATCGCGTCGTCCTTCGATGCGAATCCCAGAAAGTGGTCCGATGACACTGAAATTTATTAACCATGTACTCTCAGTTTAAACTTACTTAGCCTTCAATTATGGGGCGTGTGACCGTTCCAAAATATGGGGAAACTAATAATATCATCAGTAATTTTCAGGTAAGTTTTTGTACTCAATTTTGGTGACAATTTTTATTATTTTATTACTCGAATATATAATAGTGAAATATTAAAGAATATTTCCGGTTACTAAACTCGAATATAAAATATTACTTCATGATGATATTCGATAAATTCTATAAATATTTAAATAAAAATAAATTGTCACCAAAAATGAGTACAAAAAACTTACCTGAAAATTACTCTCATCATCAACCCACTGTTGGGCACGGATTTCCTCTCAGGCGAAGGTTTAGGCCATATTCCGCCATGCTGACCGAATGTGAGTTGGGGACATTACACGTGAATCTTCTTTGACGATCGAAAAGTTGATGGCAAATTATAATTTTTTTTTTACGATTTCAAGTGACGGGACGAACAAGTCGCGCATCTGGTGGTAAGGGACATGTCCATAACAGTTGCATTACCGCTCAGAGTTTTAAATCGCAAAGATCTGAGGGCACTGCGTTCGTCACTCCCTTGTGCCTGTAATTTCACCAACAGACTTATCCATCAAAAACAGAACGCAGTAATGCTTACATCACCGCTTGACGGCAGAAATATGTAAGGTGAGCCCTACTGTTACTAAAATACTGGTCCATTACGCTGACAAAACTTACTTTCCGAGGGTGTTTTCTCGAAGACCAAACCCACCATGACCTTGAAGTTCAGTGCCACCTTCATTTGGTTGATGCAGTTCAGGCAAATGAGATCGCTGCCAAATTGCACCTATATTAAGATGAAAGAAAAGTTCGTGGCAAATTGTGAGTTCCCATGATAATGTGTTAGACAACCACACTAATTAACAATGTGTAACGGCAAGGTGAAACATGAAACTGCGTAAGTAAACTGCGCTCGCGGCTAACCTCGCTACTCGTGCGTAGGCGTCGCGTAGGGAGTCATTATTTCGGGTGAGAGTCAAAGACACAGTGACCTTAGAAAATAAACTTCAATGGTTTCCACATATATCTTCCCTGGCCAGTAGATTAAGCTCCGCTGCATACGCAGTCCGCAGAATACGTGAGCTTACCGATGTTAGTACTGCTAGACTAGTTTACTTTAGTTACTTCCATAGTATAATGTCCTACGGGATTCTCATGTGGGGTAAAGCGGCAGATATTCAAACCATATTTGTATTGCAAAAACGATTCGCGATTCGTTCTGTGGTCTAGGCTCTCGGGTTTCTCTCAGAGAAAAATTTAAGGTGACTGGTATCATGACTGTGGCATCACAGTACATTTACTCAAATATTTTATATGCCCGTAAAAATATACATAATTTCAATAAGAAAGAAGATATCCATAATATTAACCTTAGAGCTAAGTCCAAACTCATGGTACCACGATTTCGTTTAACCAAGGTAAACAACTCTTTTATGGGGAACTGTATACGTTTTTACAATAAGATTCCGGAGCATATATTAAGTGTATCATTTCCTAAGTTTAAAAACTACATTAAAAATATTTTGATCGAA